CATCAAGCAGCATGGAGCAAAGCACACTGGAAATCCAGGAAGTTGTTGGAAGTGATGGGCAGATTGAAGGCAGCGCTCACTACATAAAAGGAATTTTTTAAAGTAAGCTTGGATTGCATTATAAAAAAAAACTCTAGTATGTATTCCTGTTACAATGCTGGTGTTATAACAGGAGAGGATATGCTGGGACTATGCAACTGCTTTAACCTATGACACCCAAAGCTAACAGTCTTATGCTGAAATGTGCCTGTGCCCCAACAGCACAGCTTAAACAATTGGAGCAGTAAATATAACATACATTATTACTAGAGGATGTAAGCATTAACACTACCAACTGACAGGGGGGAGAAGAAAAAGTACAAGTTTTGGTTTAACATGTCATCATAGGTTTCCTTGGAAGGTGTTAAAAAATGCCACTAATTGGAAAGGGAATCCCGGTCAAACAGCCCCGCTCATCTCCAGAGATCAATTACAGCTTCTCAAATGTGTTAAGAATTGTTGTTTGACATGATAAGTATGAGTGCGTATTAATTGTATGCAAAGTCCTGCTAATGATAACTAGTTTACTGCAGCCAGATCACTGAGAGATGAGTTCTGATTGGTTCCTTTGGGTTGCTAAACTTTGACTTTGCTCTTTCTCCTAATGAGTTGACCTGATTGTGAAATGTGGTCTACAGAGACATGGGATTGATTTCCTGAAGGAGCACAGACTGTTCACTAAGCTTACGGAATGAGCTGAAGCCGTGATTACTTCAATTATGCAATAGTCTGTGAGCAACAAAACATTTGAACAAAAATGTTCTTGCACATGATTGGGGATTCAAACACAGCTTCAACTCATTCACTACACTAGGTGAAAATTCATTTTGCAAAGTGAACATGATCTACCCCTAGTAAATCCACCCTGACATGTCCAAGTTGGAAATTACTCCAATATTATAGTTTCTATAGCTAGATCACAGAAAAGTACAGTTGCTGCAATGAAAAAAATGTCTGCTGAGGCAAGTAGGAAGATCACGTTTGTCAATGCAGCTTATGAATGATGTATGTTCAAAGTTTTGCAACACATTTCCAATAATCTTATGTCTGCTTGTTGGCTCATGCTGTGACAACCGATGCAACTGAGGGATTTCCTTTGCATTGTGTCTCTATAGTTTCAGAAGTAGTAAGTCTTTTGAAGCCTTACTTACCACCACCCTCCCAGTGGTTTATGGCCCTCAGTAATTTAAATAAAACAAAGTGCCAAGGGCTGTTTGCAGTTAAGACCTGCTCCATAAACACCTGGACTAGGTGCTATGGAAGGTCTTTAACCAAGCCCATTTGGTTGTATTTATGAAGCAGAATATTACCACAACCTCCCTTACTAACTATTCCATTTCACTGTAGCTGAATACCATGGGCTTCTTACCACAGTGGGCCCTCAATTCAAGTGTGTTGATGATGAAATGAAAGGATGACTGCGTTCTTGTGATCCAGACACGTCAAGTAGCTTAAGCAGGATGGTGACCTCACTTTTCTCTCCTGCAGTTAATCAATACAGCTTGGTCACCAACCTGCACCCCACCTGTCACTGGACAATGAAGGTGATCCTTTACAGTGATGAGGCTACCACTCTCCCCTTTCCTCTTGCAGGAGTATTCAAGCTGATGTAGATAGCACTGGGCAAAGCAATAGAGCTCTCACCGGTTCAAAGTTTGACTTGCTGTACAGGGAAATACAGGAGGTCTGTTTCAGCACCTTTTCATGTAAAAACAAATTAGATTTTTTTAAGAAAACACAAAACTAGATTTTTTTTTAATACTCTGTATGGTGTTTATTCTCGCAGCATAACACTGAATGGAGCAGCCTGCTACTGTATACATTTTTTTTAACTTTATATGGAGAAATACCTTAACTTGGTCATATACTCAAGATATCAGCCAGAGACTACACATTAATCCAACTACCTAAAATCTTTGGACACTTGCATGCATATCTGAATGATATCCATGAATGGGCTGTAAACTGTACCAACATGCTGACCTCTGCACTGGCCTTGCAGATTACTGAGATCTACCAAAAATCTTGGAACCACCTGATCATTATTCTTGGCTATTCTGGTGTGTTAAAGTCATTGGCTTTGATTGTTCATGCTTCATAAACTGCCTGCTGTACAAAGGTGCCAAAATCAGACAACTGATCCCTGTGAATGGATAGCATTAAAGCTGCAGTAGATGGTTGTTGAGATAACTGGATTCCATTAACATGTTTTTGATTGGCAGAGACCACGCTCTTTTTTTACAGGTCAAGTCTTCTTTAGAAAAAAGGGCAATCCTGCTGATCTTAGTCTGAGCTGTGGTGTCTGCTCAGGTCCCAAATCCCCAGCTAAGCATCCTGACTAGAGCTCAGTGCCTCCTTAGCAGCAACCCCTACCTGTCATCGGCTCCTCTGTAAGACCAGGACACATCAGGACCCTGACCTGAGGGCGCTGTCCGGGTGGGCAGGTAACCCTGTGCTACTGGACCAACTTCCTTATCTTTCATAAGCTAGATCCATGTCAGAGTATCACGTTCTTCCCGAGAAAACAGAAGTCTGACCTTTCTAAGGCATTTTACAAAAGGAAAAAAGACTCAGTTACTTTCTAACAAACATCAGAAAAAAAGCTGTCATTCAGCATATTAACATGAGCATGTCACATGAAAACAAACAGAGAGGCTACAGAGGTGAAACACCATAATGATACTAAGATTGTAATCTTGGCAACTATTTCTTTCCAGGGAATCCTCAAAATTAAATTCTTCCACTCACATGCACATTCCACATTTCCACAGGAAGTAAACATTCTTCAGAGAACAATTCTATATAGAACATCTAATATCTATACTTAACTAACACCCCTAATGGGTTTTGTTAGAACACATTAGAACAATAACATACTTAATCCATAGCTTTCCAGTATCATCCATATATGTCTATCTATCTATCTATCTATCTATCTATCTATCTATCTATCTATCTATCTATCTAGTGTTGAATTCTTAACACATATCTATAGTATCTGACGTATTATTGTCTTGTGATAGCTTGAACCTGAATCATTGCTTTGGATAGCAACCAATGTTAATGTGTATGTTAGGGCAAGATAAAACAAATGCAGTGCATCTCTGTGATACATGCAAATTTCCCAATACTGCTTTCCCAACATGTCTTTAAAGACTTGCAAGTACTGAAAAATACCTATTGATTTGCCAAAAATGCACTTAGTTCCTCATTTCCTGTTATGGGCTGAGAACAGTGCTCTTACTTCACTGGAAGTGCAAGAAATGGCCTCAACCCTGTCCAGGTATTTTTTGGTAATCCCACCCAATCATCTCCACGACAGAAGTATGAATTGTTTTGTAGTCCAAGATATGAACTGGGACGGCTTATTAGGCTCCTTGAGAAGACAGAGTGAACAAGGCACACGACTCTGAACTCCTGAAAAAATCCACAGTTATATTTTGCACTTATCGAACAGATATAACAAAATGCTTTCAATGGTATATTTAACATACCAAAAGGTAACAAATAAGATACGTTGCATTATTCAACATGAGATTGGCTATACCTAGTACAATATTATGGCTGTATGTGGTATTTCAGTTATTTGCAGTTACACTAAATCTGTAAATGATGTAAATGGGTTCTTTACATCTAAATTCAGGGGTGCTAGTTATAATCATTCGGTCATCTGCACAAGAGCTTAACAGAATTGACAATTCATCTAATGACCTCCTTATCATAAATAACTGTGCATATCTTCAAATAAACCCTGAAAAATACACACATGGACAATTGGGGTATTTTTAGCCATATGATATGAAAACCTATTTCGAATAAGTTGTCAACTGTTCTTACTAAGTGATCCATTTAGTCAACTCTAACCTCTCTTCAAGGATTCTGCTAAGACAAGAGTTTCTCGTTTCGGACTATAAGGCTCAGGGGAGAAAAATAATTTCACTAGCCCTGACATCAGACCCAATAAAACCCAAGAGGCTCTTAACGATGTAACATAAGTGTTTGCAAAGTTATGTTTTTTTTTCTCTGGGCCCTGGTGTCATTTTCCATCCCCAAAGAAAGATTGTGGGTGACCTTTAAATCCTCGGAATAGTGGAAGAAACAGTAAGAGTGCTATGTATAAAGTCAGGGCTTTTTAAATTCTTGTGTTTTTATGATAAATGACTCGGTAAGCTGTCACCACCCAGGTATTTATACTTAATTTCAAGGCAGAAAAATGTACTTAAAGTGACAACTGTTGGAAATAAACACCCTTTATTCCACCTATTTATTTATTACAAATAAATCATTAAGCTGTTTATATATTAATAACAAGAACATTTCTGTTGCCCAGAGCAACCAATCAAAGAGATCTCATTCCACACTTAGTATAAGTAGCACAGCTTAGTATTTCATTACATCTCTCAGCCACCACTGCAAGATCTTCTGCTGTATTCTGTATTTTCTGAACTATAACAAAATGTAAAACTCCACCAAGATTAGTAATAGCAAGATGAACGCTGCAATTGGACTGTCTTCGGAACTCAGGAGCAGACATCAGACCACTGAAGTATCCAGCAAGACTGAAAAAGCTATAACATAGTGGCTCTTGGATATTAAGATGTGTCGGTTCAGGACGCTTAGTGGGCCCCAGGAACATAAAGGAATGTCTTGCACAGCTCTGCCCACTATTCTAAAATAAGGGCATGAGCTCATTCTTTCTTGGAACTCTGATGACATGTGATTACCTTTTTTTATGAAGGTTCTGCTCTGCTTCAATATGGTTTAGTAGAGGGGCTTTTGGTTCTTTGAAGTCAACCTTATCATAACACAACTGCCTATACCTTCTAATTTAATTTTTAGTTACATTATAATAATAACAATTCTGTGTTAAAGTCGTTAAGATGAACCCATTCACAATGACCTTGCCTGTAAAAGCAATGAAGTCATGTATAAAATAAAGAGGAAGAAGACACTTGTCTTACTTGTCTGAGGTCAAGGAAAGCCAACTGCAGGGTGTCCTCCTGGAATCCCGGAACAGGATCAGAACTGGCAAACGCTGTAAATACAAATATAAACTCATGTTAATTGGAAGACTCTAAGAAATAACTATTATTGCAGACGTAAGACACCATCTTTTATAAGCTACAAAACAAACTTAATTATTAAACAGTTTATTCAAAGCTGGAAAATCCTTCAACACTTTCAGAGGCATTCATTACCATCTACATGGCGGACAAAGCGGTATCAGCCCTGCCCAGTTGTTTTGTGCTAAACTACTCAAACTCTTTCACACTCCTCATCTCTACAAAATAGACAGTCCCCTAGGAACTAGGAAGGCTAAATAGACTTCTGAGATAACATAAGAAGGGCACATGGGACACAAGACAGCTCTGAATTTCTAACATTAATAAACAAGTATTTTTGTTTATCAAACAGATACTATAGGGGAGTGGGCATTAATGTGGCAGATGAGGTTTAATGTCGATAAATGCAAAGTAATGCACTTTGGAATTAAAAATAAACAAATGGGTTATACAATTATGGGTATGCCGCTAGGGAAGTCAGAAATGGAGAAGGATTTGGGGGTCATTGTAGACCACAAACTGAAAGGTAGTTTGCAGTGCCAGGCTGCTGTAAACAAAGCTAGCAGGGTCTTGTCCTGTATTAAAAAGGGAATGTATTGCAGGGACAAGTCTATAATTTTGCCACTTTATAGATCATTGGTTCGACCTCATCTGGAGTACGCGGTCCAGTTCTGGTCACCAGTACTAAGAAAAGATGTCCTTGAGTTGGAAAAAGTCCAGCGGAGGGCAACCAAACTAATTAGGGGAATGGAGGACCAGAGCTACGAGACAAGGCTACTAAATTTAAACATGTTCACATTGGAGGTGAGGAGATTGAGGGGGGATATGATATCCATGTACAAAATGTTCAATGGTGGCAGCAACATTAGCGATAAACTGTTTAAAATTAACTCCATTACAAAAACTAGAGGCCACCACCTAAAATTGGTGGAAAAAAAATTCCAGCACAAGGGGCGAAGGGGGTTCTTCACAGTAAGATCAGTTAGGGTCTGGAACTCACTGCCACAGACAGTGATTTCAGCAAAGAATGTGGAATTGTTCAAGAAACTTTTGGACGATTTCTTAAGGGACCGTAATATACAGGGGTACAGGTACTCCTAGAATGAGATCCTAATAGGTTGGACTTGATGGACTAATGTCTTTATTCAACCTCAAATACTATGTAACAAACCCTTTTAATTGTATATTTAGCAAACCAAAAGGGAGCAAACAAGAAATTAATTGTTGCACTTAAAGAGATGAGAAACGGTCCAAAACTCACAAGCATTGCTTGAAATCCGAAGAATTGCTACCTTTTATCGAGTAGTTTATGGGCAGACAAACAGTTTGGTATGCAGGGGAAGGAGATTCAATGGGGTTTATTTACTAAAGGCAAGACATTTTCACTGTGCAATGGAATTTTACCTTAGCTTAGTGAATGTGGTGAAAATTCACATTGCAACTATCCCCCAATCATATGCAAGGAAAATAAAAAGGCAATTTTTGCTTGTACATGACTGGATAATAAAAGTCAGCAGAACTTCATCTCATTTACTAAGCTAAGTGTAAATTCTCTTGCAGTTGATTCGCCTTTAGCAAATCAACCCCAATGATTCAGTGATCGGCATCCAAAGATGGGGAGCCATGCTGTGCCTAGGCCCTCATGAACTACTGGGAGAAAACAAAACAAAAGAGAAGGGCGCCCACCCTAGTGTAGATAGTTTTTAATGTTTAAGAATAGAAATACAGAGTCATGTCATACTCACAAAGGTGTAACGAATTAAAAGCATATCAGGGAAGCCTGGACGATATCTAAAACGGCTGCACAGAAGTCTGTGTAACTGCACAGGACTCCTTCAATGACGCGTTTCCGGGGTCACGCCCCCTTTTAATTAGTTACACCTTTGTGAGTATGACTTGACTCTGTATTTCTATTCTTAAACATTAAAAACTATCTACACTAGGGTGGGCGCCCTTCTCTTTTGTTTTCTCCCACAGTGTTGCAGCTTCCCAGGCTGAAGTGGGGCAGCACCCCTAGTAATTCTCGCTCGCTTATACATATCAATTGTTGGTCAACTTTTGGCGCTTCTGATTTGTTTTTACCTCATGAACTACTGTATTCATCATAGAAGAAAGTGTTCTTATTGATTCAATGGAGCGGAGTTCCTTTGTTGTTGCTGATTCAGACCTGTGAAACAGGAGCTGCCAAGCAAAGGTCCCAGATTTATTTTATATATACCTTGTGTGCAACTGAAAGGGGTAGTTCATAAACTCTAACAGGGTTATTCACAAGGGTGAAGAGTTTGGAGAAGGCCGGAGAAGTGAATAATCCAGGACAACATAGCTGAACTGGAAACTGAGCCGAATTGGAGATTTTTTCCAAATCAGCTATTTGGCCTAAATTGTTCACTTCTCCTGCCTTCTCCAAACTCTTCACCCTTTTGTGAATAACCCTGTAGATTATTTTATAAGGAAAGGGCTGTTGAAATTCTGCGTAAGTGCCCTTTTCAGTTTTTTAGGCGGACCCAATTGGATGTCCAATGCTAGTCTATGGGCAGCCGCATCTAGACGGATGGAAGGACTCCAGCCAGGTCCAGAAAAACAAACGGACCTGATGCTGCCAGATCAGGGGTAATCTGATGTAAATGGGCACATGCCCATTTACATCCGATCCCCCATAGACCGGCATGGGGTTCGGTCATTTCAGTTTTTTCTCCATCAGATGATGGAGGAGAAAACTGGACGGACACAGATATCACAGCAGTGACATCCGATCTGTACTTCTCTGATTAGGAGGGGATCTGCGCACGGATCGCCTTCTGCTCGGACATTGTGAAAGGGGCCTTATGTTAATAGGTAAATTTAGGTAAAACAATGCTAAAAACTATTCTTCTTCAATAACTCTACCTATTTATACCTGCTCAAAACTGCGTCCAATGTATTCCAATGGTATTTTTTGCTCCAGTTCACATCGCAGCGTGCAGTTCCAGAGCAGGTCCAAAAAACTGGAACGCATGCAAATGCCTGGAACGCACTGAAAGCCCATGTTAAACTTAAAAAAAATTTTTATTACCAAAAACGGCCCGCAACGCATCAAAAACACAGCAAAAAACGCAGCAAAAACAATGCACAACCCACTGCCCTGCATGTGCAGAAACCTGAGCGCACCTGCTCTGCATTTGGTGTGAACAAGGCCTAACAGAGTGACGATGCTGATCGTTCTACAGTGAAATCGCACACCAGTGTTGTCACCCCTGTGGTCTATATGGAAATGTAGTTTTAGATGGACTCTTAATTAAGTGACAAACTAATTAAAGCCTAATGCCAGATTGTTTTTTGCCAGTTATTTTCTTTTGTTAAAAAAATGTTCAAACCATGTGAATAAAAGCTGACCATGGCAAGCACCCCGCGTGTTGAATGGTTTGACCCAACCTTTCTGTCCTTTTTGCTGGACACTTTGGGTTGCATAGAAGAGGTGGAGAAAAATAAAAAAAAAGGCCTATAGAATAAAAAATCCCACACATTTAATAGTATCCCCACAGGTATTAAGCTATGTATAGATACCAGAATGCAGTATTTGTCACTTTACTGGGTCTTTACCATTGGGTTCTTCATGTAACAACCCACCATGCATTTATTACCTTCCAAGGCTTTCAAAGCTTTACTGAACTGAAATATCTAGCATGCCAGCGATACAGGTTAATATTCTGCTTGTTATAATGTAGGAAATGTTGACATATAGGCTTGATTTACTGAAGTGTACAGCTTGGTAAAGTGTAGTAAAATAAAGTAATTGGACAGTTGAAGTGAACACCTACAGTATAAAGTACACCTAGCTTCAAACCCTATTAAATCAGGCTATCAAAATACACCTTCTCATTGCAATGACTGTTTCAAATTCCCATAGAAGTATATAGATACAAAACAAATACTTATTCTCCTTTACTTACAAAACCACATTTTACAGAGCTACACTTTAAATAAAAGGAACGTTGATATAATGGGGCAATGGACATAACTCTGATTCTTTATCATTTGCACAGAACATACTTTAATTAGCATATGAAATCATAACAACAAGATTTATTCCTCAGTCAAATGTAGATGTGGCTATTGCACATGTGAATTTGCTGAAAGCTAACTGTACAGTGCATCAACATATTTTGCAGCACATAAAGGACTGTTATTGTCTGTACAGATCTGTAGAATTGTAAGTGGTGCATTCCCATGCTGGAAAGTGATCCTTTGTGACAACAGAGCATAGTAATGGGCTTATAGCAATAAATACCTCAGAACCATTTCCTAGAGATTATACATGAAACACAACTGGGCATGTAGCAGTCACTGTAGTCATGATGTAGAGCTGCCAGGACAGCTCTCTCCGGTAATAATAAAACGGCGCAGTCATAAACAGATGAGAAAACATGTTTGAGTTTTACGGGACACGAGAACAACAAAAGTGCATCATATCTGTCTTATAGCCTCCCCTGGGAAGGGACAAGTCATATGATTTCTCCTATACAGATGGCCATGCATAATTTATTCTGTACATCAAACACACCTGCCCATATGTACCCCATCCAAACACACCATGAATCATCGAGTCCGGTGTGGAATTTCATATCTGCTCTGTGTGCCGTGACTCTTAATGTACACACATCTCAAACAAACTTTGCTAAGATGATCGGCATACACATCTGCAGGCTTCTGGCAAAGAGCAATTATTTGCCACTCTTATGCACCACCAGCCCGCTACACCACTGCCTGCTTATACTCTAATATCCCTAACGAAGTTGTGTCACCAATCGGTATGTTTCTGTGGTATGGGGGAAAAGTAGAAAATCTAAAAGGAAACATGTAATGTATGTAAACATAGGCAGAACATGCAAAGTGTTTCCATATAATGAACTGGTAGGAATTAATATTGGAATACCATTGTTGCAACACAAGCATATTAACCACGTAGCTGCTATGCTGCAAATGAGAACATGCA